ATTGTAGTTCTTTCTTCTTCCCTTCCTCCACACTACATGTTTCGGCCCTAAATGGCCATCATCAGGTGTGTATTCTTACGTAGCTGCTACACTGCCCGTAGTTTAAAATTTAAAATCACCAGTCTTTCCAATTGTATGTATGTATAAAATCTTTGTTAACCTACACGCGTCAATTTGATTTCTAAAATTGGCACTTTTTTAAAACTTCAATTCAAATTAAAATGTCTTTAAATTTCTGTTCTTTTTCTTTTTCCAAATGTTTAAAAATTAAAATTTTCTCGGGGTACACACCCTATGTCTATAGTGCTGCAGTGGCCACTTCTTGTTTTATCGCTGTTCAGGTATTGTTCTCTGTAGGCTCTCTCTGTGTGTGTCGCTGCTTATCTTTAATACGTGTATTATACACTTCAAACTTTGAAATTCATCACCAGTTGAGTGAGACGTGTGGTGGATGGTGTCATGAATGTGAGAAATGTGCGCTCGTGGGTGCAACAATTAAAAGAAGGCCGAACGTCCTGTGACAACGAACCAAAACAATCTCGGCCTCGCAGCAGCCGGTCTGAGTCGAGCGAGTTGAGAAAGTTGTTTTGGAGGATCGCCGATTGAGTGTGGAAAACATCGCTTCCAAAGTTAGCATTTCCATGGGATCTGTGCACAAAATCCTGCATGAAGACCTGCAGATGTGGAAAGTGTCCTCCAGGTGGGTGCCACGAATTCTGGCAGACGACCACAAGGCTGCGTGCATGGCAATTTGCCAGGGGATGTTGACACGTGATGAAGACAGGAATGGGACTTTCTTTTCATCAACTGTGACAATGGATAAGACATGGATGCCGTTTTTCAATCCTGAAACGAAGCGCCAGTCAGCTCAATGGAAGCACACAGACTCACCGCCATCAAAAAAATTTTGGATAAGCGCAAATGCTGAAAAAAATGGTGGCCATGTTTTGGGATAGCGATGGCGTAATCCTTACTCATTGCGTTCCAAAGGGCACTACGGTGACACGTGCATCCTACCAAGATGTTTTGAAGAACAAGCTCTTTCCAGTACTGCGAGAAAAACGGCCAGAAAAGGTTGCGCGTGTGCTCTTTCACCAGAACAATGCACCAGCGCATCGGGCGTATGCGACGCATCAGTTTCTTCATGAAAACAACCTTGAAGTGGTTTCTCATGCTCCCTACTCACCTGACCTGGCTCCTAGCAATATTTGGCTTTTCCCCAACGATGAAAGGCACTCTCCATGGTTGCACATTCACCAGTCGTGCCGCTATTGCATCAGCAATTTTCCAGTGGTCAAACCAGACTCCTACAGAAGCGTTTGCAGCACCCATGGAATCATGGCATTGACATTGTGAAAAATGTGTATGGCTGCAGGGAGATTACGTTGAAAAGTGACAGAAGTTTCAAATTTTTTGTATGATAATTGTGTGAGAAAAAAATCGGAGACCTTAGAACTTGAACGCACAACGTATGAAACAGAAGTTATAGAATAAAACAAGAATAAAATTCTTTGATTGATGCTTTACATCATCGAGTCAGTGGTTGGTTTTTGTGTATGTATAATAAACTGTTATTGGGGGCTCATAATGTAGAGGTAGTAATATTAATTATTTAGTCAGTGCCTCATCTTACAAAGTATTATCCGTTCTTTAGGGAATGTAAACAACTACACGTACTTGTACTACATCTACATCACGAGCCTCCAAAACAGTTTATTATACATACACAAAATATAGAATACTCCAATTTGTCCGTGGGAACACAACAAACTCACAAAAACCAACAACTTACTCGATGATGTAAAGCATCAGTCAAAGAATTTTATTCTTGTTTTATTCTATAACTTTTGTTTTATATACTCTAATTTATTGTATTTTTACACCAAGTATTTTAATATAATTAATATTATTGTATCCAATTTTATTAGTACTGCAGTTCAGTGGTATATATATGTTAGCCATGTATTTGCCTGATGATGGCTTTCAATAGCCGAAACATGTAGCAGAGCCATACTAGGCACTGACCTTGATATAGTTGTGTTGTGACAGTTTTAATAAAGAAATTATATATTATAACACAACAGGATGCATGAAATGAAAATTATGAAGACACCTAGTTTCTGGGAAGTTCAGTGAGATGGGTAGTTGCTTAAACGTGGAAGTGCAGGGCTGAAAGGATGAAACTTGAAGCATGAAAAATATATAAATTTGAATATATTCTGAAATCAGGATTTCCCCATGCTTCAGGATGTTGAAATACAGTAGATGTGCTGGTCTTCCTGAATGGTGTAAACCATAAGAAGGCATTAAAGTAATTGTGTTTGTTTTGAGCAGCTTTTTCTTAGTGTTAAGCCATTACAAGTCTCCAGACGTCAGTGAAATGATGAAACATTATTTGTTTCATGTTTCATGTTGTCTGTCACAAGGGAACTGTTGCATGTAGGAATCCAAAATTTGCGAATATGTCAGATGTGGAGAGTTGATGTAAACAGTGGATCTTTTAATGTTTATTTATATTGTCAGAACAGGTATTTCAAGGTTAAGAAACTTACTGCTGACCATTCACCTCCAACAATAGCCAAAGTCAAGAAAATGTGGATCTGTACATCCACTCCCCCAAATGCATGTTTAATTAGTTAAGCACAGGGTCAGCTTTCCCTTTTACTTTACCACAGCATGAAGACATTGTACAGTGAAGGTGTAGTGCCACACATTCTTAATCTTAACATTAGATGGAGGTGAGTCGTCAGCTTTACATCTCAGATGCTTTACCCCTGGGGAAAGAGCCCCTGGTACCCACTGGATAGGAGGCTGGATAAAGCCCTAAAGCCAGTCTGGACACTAAAAAAAAACTGTTGAGAAGAGTTGAACATCTGTCCCCAGCTGTACAGGCCATCATTGGTTTGAGCTGACACAGCTCAGTGTCTTTTGGGATGTGATAACTGTATAATTTGGTAAACAAGTACCACTGTTCCTCTGACAAAAGATAGAGTCAGTGGGCTCATTCAAAACATTGTACCTCTCTATGAAGCTACACGTTTCACAACACAGAAGACCATAATCTTAATATTCATTGCTGTGAGAACCTCAGGTGTTACACAAAAAATCTGGTGTGTGTGTACATCATAGGTTTTATATAGCTCTTTATCAACATTTTCTGCTTTAATGTTTCAGAACCTAATTCCAGGGGCAAAACCAATTCCAGTTAATGAAGTACAGTTATCTCAAGATGAAGAGGAAGAGGAAGAAGAAAGGAGAGAGAAAGAATCAGGAGAGCATGAGAGAGATGAAAACGATACAAGGGAGAAGTCCAAAAATAAAGACAAAGATGAGGATAATCAAGAAGTATTGGACAGAAGACCTGTTGCCCCCGCGTTCGTATCAGAGCCTCATAAGATCAGTGTTGCAGTGACTGATGATTATAGGAGTAAGTGCTCCTGATATGCTTTATTTCTACTGTATTTACTCTGATAGTTTTACATTTTTAAGTTCTTTCTCAGAAGAATTTGTCTTCATGTTAAAATACTACAGGGAGATAATTTTAGTAGAGAGAGATATATTTGCATCATCCATGTTTATATGACCTTCCAGAGGCAGTGTTGTTGTTCTTGCATTCTCTTGGCTTATTAGTAGGAGGGGCATGGTACTGTGAAATCTCACAAAGTATCTTTCACCATAAGATTGTTGTCATTATTGTCATTGCCATAATCATCCACTTTTGCATTTTGTCACTTTTAAAAGCTGTGTCTGCAGCCTTTCATCTAGGTCTTACAGTGGTGCATCCCATTATATCAGATTTCATATTGAGAACAGAAGGACTCTTCCAAACAGTCAATTATAATTTATTTATAATAAAAAGTTCACATATTCCACTGCATATTATCATGTGTTAATGACTTAGACACGGTTTGGATTCATAATTGGATTTATTATACATGTTTATATCTCGTAACTAAAGTATTACATTGGTGTCACTGATTTACACACTCTGAAGAGCTGCAGCATACATAATATATTCTGTGTCTTCGCTATTTGTTGCTTGGTAACAGCTCCTCTGCTTTTGTGCTCACATTGTTGCCTGCTGGCTACTCTCTCACACCTGACTCAAAACTGCAACTCATGGCCTCCTAGCCATGACAGACTGTCAGCTGCAACTAATTTCAGAGAGTTACTTTAAGATAGGTGGTTTACCACCAGTCAGTTCATCTTGGCACGAAGCCCCTTGATGCTCACGACCATAGGTTTTTTTTTTTCTTTTTGCAACTGCACCCTTTTAGTCATATTCCTTATGTAACATCGTCTCTGATGAGAGGATGGATTTGTCTCTTATGAATATGCTTTGCCTTTGCCAGATATACATATTGCACATATAGAAAATTATTCAAAAATTCTTCCTTGTGCAAAAGTCCTCTGTCATTGTAGGCTTTGCACAGCAGATCATGTCTATCTTACGTATCTTATGCTACAACAGCAACTTAGCCACTTGAACAATCGTAAGCTTGACCACCGCTAAGTGTAAGCCTCTTGTATTTCCTGTGTCTGTGCTGTAAACATGTTCATTGTCATGATTTTGTATGACTTCTGTTTGTTGCATACACAATTTTGTTACATATAGTCATATACATACAGAAGGTTGAAAGCTGTGTGCAAATCATGGACTGGTATGCACCTTGGAAAATTTCCATTGGTGCGGAGAACCTTATTTTGCAGGCACTGCGATTTTAATAGGTAGGTGTCTGCTGATAATTCCCAGGCAGGGCAAGCATAATTCATTACTTATCTAATTGGGGCTTTATGGAAGGTTTAATGTTGGCGCCTAAATGCTCACTTTTGAATAGGGAGTTGATTCTAATAAATGTTCTGAAGGCCTTGGCTTCAGTTATTTCCAGGTGCAGTCTCCATCCCTTATCGAAGATTACACCAAGATATTTTGCAAGATATAACTAACTTAACTTATCCAGTACAGTTATACGTGTATTGCTTCAGGAAAGACCTCACAGAAAACATTATTTCAGACAGCTCTTTTGTTGGGTGTGTATATGTTGCTGCAGACTTGTATTTATTGAGCTGTCATCTAGCAGCAGACCCATACCACAGTATTTTGATCACATTAGGTCACAAAGAGGTAGAACTTAAAGAATTTACTGTTAATATTCCACATCAGTGAGTACATGGAACCATCTTGCAGAAGCTGTGCACAGTTCAGTGTTATTAGAAATGTTCAGAAGAAGTTTATAGAGCATGGATGACTTTTTTTTTTGTGCAGCACTTGCACTCATGAAAATCATTGTATGTATTGTAACGTGTTTCGTTACTGAAGACGCCGTTCGGATTGTTAATTGGTTTATTCAACATTCTACAAGCAATGGCTACAATTAATTATAACAATGGTACGGGTTTCCACACTTTACAAACCCTACAACAAAGTCTTCACGTACTAATAACGCGGGAGCTATACAAGTCTCCCTGAATTACACACTCCAAATATAACTGTACTACAGCACTCGCTAAGTCTCGAAAGCACACAATAAGTCTTCCGCTCACTGACTTCTTAGTTATCGCACACTGTCACATAAAATCTTGTAACCACGCGTTCGGGTCTTCTTATCGCGACTGCTGCTATATTTCAACTCAATTCATAGGCTGCTGCCTTGAGAACTGTTGATCACACACTGGCTCTCGCTTGCTGCTCAGCCGGCTTATATTCCGTTCGCTGTTACCTGTTGCCTGCGTCAACAGCGTTGTTGCATGCCACGTCACAGTAGGAACCGGTGCCATGTCGTCATGTTGCATCACCACGCGTTGCGCGTTACATCACCGTGGGGAGAGTGGCGGGGCGATGACTCGCCTATTACCATAGTAACGAGAGCGCTATGTTACCGCCACGTACCGCTGGGGAGGTGGGGATCCTTCGTTGCGCAACATGTCACAGTATTAAAACCATGTGAAATGGGAACACATTGAAAGAACCTTTAGTATGGTGGAGAAGGAGTAGGAAATGACATGACTCAGTCAGAATGGTGGCTCAAGTCAGGGAAACTGCACATGCAGGTCCTGGGCATGCACAGCAGCTTCTCCCTAGTGTACAAAAACAGAATGTTCAGTGAAAGTTATCTCTGTGTTAAATTTCATACAAATATATTAAGAATGTAGTGATGTGACAGCTTAAGAAAGATACTTTAATTTGCCCCCATGTCGTTCCCATTTCTCTGTATCCCCTCTTGAGTAGCATAAATGTGAGAGAGTGATCGTGAGAATGGTAGATATATGAAGGTGATGTGTATCTTGACATAGGCATTGAAGTTCTGAAACTGAGGGGTATGTGGTCAGACAGTAAAGTTCGCGAACTCATCGTGGTAAAAGTGCTGCATACCTCATTGCTGAATATCACTGTGGTCGCCTTCAAAGTACTCCCCTTGGGAAGCTAAGCACTGATGCCAGCACATAGTTGACCCTCCAAAACAATTTTGGAACTGGTTTTGTGCTTTCAGAACTGCTGTCATGTTACTCCTGATGTCATCACTGTTATCAAACTGCCTTCCTTTGAGTATTTCTTTTATCTTCAGGAACAGAAAAGAGTTACTGAGGGCTAGATCTGGTGAATAGGGAGGGTGTTCCAGCACAGTTATTTGTTTACTAGGTAAGAACTCCCTCACAGACAGTGTTCTTTGGTGAGCTCCTTTGGGACCATTTTTGCACACACCTTCCTCATGTCAAGATCTTCAGTTAAGATTTTCTTAACTGTTTCCCTGTCGATGTTCGCTTGCTTGCTATGCTCCTGACAGTCAGCTGACGATTTTCATGTACAATTTGATGAACTTTTGCAATGTTTTCTTCATTTCTGCTTGTTGCTGGCCATCCTGATCTCTGTTTGTCAGTGACACTTTCTCTTCCTTCAGAAAAACATGTCACGCACTTGTAAACTGCTGTTCATAGCATTTATCCCTGTAAACTTTCACTAACATCTCTCTGATTTTGCTTCCACTCTTGCCAAGTTTAACAGGAAGCTCAGACATTCTCGTGGTGGCACACCAAAACGCACACAGAAAATAAATATATGCCACTCAGAAAGAGACTGCCCGAGATCAACAACAACAGCACAACTGTGAAACGCTGATATGCCGTCATCAAACCATGCCGAAGTTTCTGTCCACTGCTCACTGCTGCCATGGCAAGCACATGGTGGCAAGGTCACGAACTTTATTGTCTGACCGCGTACTGTGTAGCACCCTATTTTAAGGTTTATGTCTTTAATTGTTAATTGGCTGCTGAGCTGAAGTTATGTTGATTCTGGTAAAGATATGAAATTTGTTATCAGACTGAAAATTGTGAAGTGTAATTAATTAATTAATTAACCTATGTTTGTGGCAGGAGTTTTGACTTAGGATTTATATTCAGACATGCCAAATAACTCTGGTTTTATTACCTTCAGTATATTCACATTTGATAATCATTCATTAGTTGACATCATGTATACTAACAGCTGATTTGCACTTAAGATTTCCAAGATCATTTACTGGAAGAAAAATGAATGAATCCAATTGATACACCAAACAATAGCTTTAACTGTCATCTCAAAGAATATGAAAGTAAAATTCACGTGATTCAGATGTTATTTGTGAGATGGAAACACAAAGCATGTGCAGTGCATGTCACTCTATGCTGATGGGTTAATTAATTAATCAGTCAATAAGATTTAAATACTCTTAATCTCTTCATGTAGTGTTTAGTTACTTTCACTTCATCAGCCTGCATCTTCCACACAATTTGCACTCTTGCCATTTTTTTCCGTACAGTTAGTCAGAAGTTAGGTTTAACGAAGTGAAATGGATGAATTTTTTTCTTGGACACCTTTGGGATGTCGATGTATGAAGATACAACCACCTGTTGAACTGTTCTGTAATATTTATTACAGTTGCACAGTATACACAGACGAACTTGAGTTTGAAGAATTGAAGAATAATAATAACAATAGTGAACTCTGTAACACCTTGAACGTTGTATTGAAATGCAACACTGAACTAGAACTGTCTGTCTGCAACACCCACACCACACCTCTGCTCTTGTCAGAGTCTTCTTAATAGACAGAATCAGAGTTACTTTATGACTGGTGGTTTACCGCCAATCAGTTCTGGTCTTCTTAATAGTCAAAGTCACATTGCGACTGATGGTCAGTCAGTAAACTTGTGTTGTCACTGTAACATTTGCTTGCATGAGAACAGTTCCCACCCCTAAAGAAAAATGCAGTGAAAACGTCATTTAAGGTGTCTGGGGATGGTTGGCTTTGAACAGTAAGCAGACAGAAATCTTGAAATGGAGTATGTTGATTTGAGAGCATCAAAATTGAATGTTAAATTAAGGAAAACTATATATCCAAACGTTAAATTGGAGTTCCACTGTATTACAGTTTCAGTGCATATCTCTGTAACATTACATTAAGTATTTTTTAAAGTTTTTTTTTTTTAAGAAGGCTCAGTTTTTGTAAGATGATCTTTAAAAAAACAGTAATTTGAAAGTGTGGGTGACATTGAGCTGAAACTTGGTGTAATTAGTTCTAATACAGTAAGCATCTATGCTAAAAAAACATGGCACTAGGATGTTCTGTTTTGAACAGGTTCTCAAATGTTGGGGTGCCCCTCCTGAAGTGGGCATATAAGGATTCAGGGGGGGGGGACAAGAGAGCCCACTGACTTGGTAAAATTTTTGTCCTAAGTGTGTGCAAAGTTGCAGTTTTGCTGTTGAAATCTATAAATTGTTGCATTTTGTAACTCAGTGGCATGCAGTGTGCACATTGACGTGCTGACTGTTCAGCAGACCAATCATTCAGTACTAAGCGTCACAACAAACTTAATGTTGAAAGTTACTTGTACTGTGCAATTTCTTCCAGTCTCAAAACTTGTGCAAATAGCAGCATCACTGCTCACGTTGCTGTTGTTTGAGGCAAACGCAAAGATAAACATGAATTACAGCTGTGTATCTTCATTTAGTTGCATTATTTTATAAAGTAAAAATGTTTTCCTGTTTATGTAGATCTTTTTTAAATAAAAATGTTGTTCACTGTTGTAACATTGTACAAACACAAACACAAATTGAAATTAGACTGTCATTTCTGTTAATTTCAAATAATATTTCAGGAATGGCTTGAGGTTTTGTGTTAACTGAAATGGGAGGCTTGGATTTAGAACATTGAGGACCACTGGTTTGAAAGAAATCCCGTTTTTACATCAGTGCAACTTGAATAAGGGAAAACTGTATTATTACATACATTTAGAGATCAGTTTGACCACCACATATGTCTGTTACCCTGCTGGAGAGTGAGTACATGTGATTATTAATTTCAGGTAAAGTTGTCACTCGCAAAATATCAATTGTGTCGGACGATGCAAGGACACTGCAAAACTCTCCAAGTCCTCCGAGGCACAAAGAATCCAATGTCTTGTTTATAACAAACTTGGTGCGTCCTTTCACTGTGAATCAGCTCAAGGAACTTTTGGCTCGTACTGGCACTATTGTTGAGGGTGGATTCTGGATAGATAAAATCAAGTCAAAGTGCTATGTTCAGGTATGTTTAATAACTGTGAAATGTTATGTAGAAGCATATTTGCAGTGATACTTTTTGTGTTCATCAGTGCATTACATATTTACATGGTACGTTTACATGCATATGTGAATTTTAAAATGTTTAGATTGAATCAAGAAAGAAAACTTGATATTCATTGGGATTTTGGTTTTTAGCCTCTGACTTGCAGCTCTCGCACACAGATATTTTCATGCTAGTGATGGGCTTTCAGTAGGGTTGCCAGATTTTGTAAAATAAAAAAAGGAGTGATGTCTCGTTGCTTGTCTATAACGACATTTTTCACAACTAATAGGATATAAAATATACATAATCAACATACAACATAACTTACAAAATGCTACTACACGTCTGTATTACATAGGCCTACTACACATTTATAGAACAAAACAAATATTATGTAGCCCTATTACATATTTATAGAATGCACAAAATATTACCTAGCACACATTTGTAGAACACACAAATATTAAATACTACACATTTATAAATTTCAAGGGCTGGTCGATCAGATTCTGTTAATTGTATTTCACTGAACTCTTAGCACTTTTTAATAATTGAACATCACCCTTTGAAAATTTATAAAATCCTGAACAGGACTTGCTTTCATAGTTCACTGTCACCTGGAGTTCTGCCTTGATTAAATCTGTTGAGCATCTGTTTCTTGTGTCACTCCACTTACTTTTCATGAATGAAAAGATTCGCTCCACCAAAGCATTTGAGCCAGGGATGCTAAACAAAAATCCTACCACTTTGGAAATATTTGGTACATCGTGCTCGGGTACTGAAGAAAAAAATGTAAGCCAGTTTGCTACATAATCACCATATTTGTTCACACTGTTGCAGAGGTAATCTCGATGGCTGCTGAACTCGTCGTACAGGTCATCAATGCAAACATTTTCACTTAGCTGAAACACTTCTATGGCTTTTTCAAAATCTTTGAACTCAATCCCTTCCTGTAGAGAAAATGCTGCAAGGGATGCATAGGGATTGTCATCTGTCACATCATATCTTTTTTGCAGGTACTGAAGCATATTGCTATAAAAGCTGTTCAGGTCTTCAGTAACCTTTTTCTGTAATGGCATAGACAATCCATTAATGAGTTCTTTTGCTTTGCAACCAAAAAAGTTGTCTTTCCTTCTCTGCTGGATTTTAGAACTGAGAAGTTACATTTAAATTTGATTTGTTTCATTTGGTCTGTCACACTAACAATTATAAATACAAACCACTCTGTCCAATGTGACATATAAGTTTTTACTCCATGAAAACTTATCTCTCTTACATGTTTCGGTCCTTACGGACCATCTTTAGAGGAAACATCATTACGAACTGGAAACTATCATCACAATAGGTGTTTTGATTTAAAATACTTACACTTATATTATATAATGCACAATACATATAAAGTTGAACATTTCACAATCACAGCAGCTTCCTGGTATTGTAAAGTTTTCAAAGTTTCTGGATGTTAATTTACAAAACCTTTATTGTCACTNTTAATGACAGCCACCTAGTTCGAACATGCCTCAAATTCTCAGTCCACTCCAAATTCAGAAACTCAAAGAATGATTTTAACTCTTCTCTTCTTTTGGCAGAGACAGAGAAGTGATTATATATCTTTACGACTACACTTTCAACATCAACATCTAATCTGTCGATTGCAAACTTAATTGTGTTATGTATGACATGATTAGAGCAATTAGCTTTCAGTAAATTTGAGTTTTTACTTCGCAGCAACTGATATACAGAGTGTGTTTTTCCATAGTTCACATTGGCATTGTCTGCACAATAAGAAGACACATAATTTACATCCAAGTTGTGCTTTTCTAAGCTCTGCAGCACGAAACCAGTAATTGCCATAGACGTTTCCTCAGCACTTTCAACAAAATCTAGAAGTTTATTCTGCACTCCCTTTAAAGGGTTGAAGCACCGGATGCAAACAGGGAACATTTTTCGATTGCTTCTGTTTGATGCATCGGTAGCCAATGAAAACATTTTGAAGTATTTTCTGGACATCTTAAAATAGACACAAAGTCATTTACACTTTTAGGAAAAAGAACGTACTTCACTATCATTTCCACTTTAGTGCGTCCACATGAAAGTTTGGAAGCAATCGCGGAATCACTGAAAATATGGGACACAAGTTTATTTCTGCAGTCCAGACTGGAATAACTTAAGTTGTGTTTCACTACATGATACACTAAACCAAGTTCACACGCGGTGCTGTTGTCATATTCTTGTTCATTGTTTAAATTAAAGTATTTCAAAAGTTTATTTGAACTTCCAGAATTACATTTTTCCTTAATTTTATGTCCCTTGTATTGTGCATGTTGCCTCAGGTCACTTTGTCCACTGTGCGAAATACTAAAATCCTTCCTACACAACGTACAAAATGCCCGGTTCTCGTCTGGTCCCAGCTTAACCTACGAAAACATATCTTCCCATTTCTTAAGATATATTTGGTTATGTTTGGCCTGAATTTCAACTTCTTCCATGGAGGAGTCTTTGATGAATCTTCTTCAGCCTCAAACATTTTTGCTAACTTGACACTGACTTTCTAGCGAAGATTGAATGGATTAAAAATACACTATCACCCACACCCTCTGCTTTGCTTTAGAACCTCAAGTGTTGCCAACATTCACGAAATGCAACATAACGAAAGAAACTATAACAATGTCATTTTCCAAGGATTACAGAAATTTTATGATAATATTTAACCCATGAAATATAATTCACAATGGACTTAAATAAAAAAACGGAGAATTATCCACTCCGGGTAAACAATAAACAGAGGAACAAAATTTGGGTGAAAAAACGGAAGAATCTGGGGAAAACGGGGTATCTGGGAACCCTAGCTTACAGTGACTTCATTTATTATTGAACGCATCTTCTTTCTTCAAAAATATTTCATCCACTTGCTGCAAAATAAATTTTTGGGCCTAAAAATAAGGTGTGCAATGTGTATGCCATTTAGATTGTTCGCATTTGCTGATCTTAAATATGTGACATACACATTTTTGAACACATTTAATCAGTGTGCTGTTGGTTCATTGGTTGGATTTATTGGCACCTTACACACACTGCTTGGAGCTACAGGCACTTACAGTGCTATCACTGATATACACTCTTTACAGTTCACTGTTACACACGCTAGTGTTCTCAGTCGTCACTAGCAATACCTTGGTAACCGACTTATAACAGTCTCGCTGTCACTGCAGGACACATGAAGTCTTCTTCTCTCACTGTCACTTCTCAGTTATTCGACTCCCATCTCCAGAGACTCTCAGTTCTGTTCCAGCTGCCTGAGAGACTTGTTGTATAGCTTTGGGGCAGACCTACAGAAAACACAATTTCCATCGTCATCACAGTTCCTGTATTATTATAGAGGCATGCCTACCTCGCTGTTGCATACAAATGGCAGTTCTGTTGTTGCGTGTGCATTTGTTGCTACAGGAATATGTTTCCCAAGCTCTTGCCTAGCAATGGACACTGCTCTGGGTCCACTTTCTGGCTTTGAGGTATCATGTCACAGTATTCTAGGTGAAAATGAATTAGCACGGCTAACATACAGTATCTCTGTGGTGAAGTATGTCATAACAAATGTGTGATATTTGAGGTTCTGATGGTGAGAATATTGAGACTGCATTCTTCGGGGTGGTGATGCCATGCAGGCTCATAGATAGACACCATTGTTTTTGAGGAACCTGGATAACTGAAGACGAAGGCAGTAGAGTAGGTTCCAATTGTTGGTTCCTATCTACCAGTGTGTATGGCATCATAACCCAAAAGACCATCATCTTCAGATAGTTATAATTTGTATATTTTGTGATAACATTATGCAGTTACAAAGTGGATCATAGATGGTATGAATAACAAGCATTCCATGGGAGCGTAAGTACAGTGTGTAACTGTCATGTGTATCTCCATGGAGCAGAATTCTTAAGATGCTAATATTTGCCCAGCTGATCAAGAAATTCCCAACCTTTTTGGAACCCAAAAGTTCATTATCATGTTCACAAGAGCCAGCCACTGGTTCTTATCTTCGCCAAATCTAGCCCACATGCCTCATGTGAGGTGTGTCTAAGGAGTTCCAAAAATGACTTTGTAAGTATCAATTAATTGCTTCTGTCCAGTTTAAGGTAGTCCTCTTAGACAGATGTACACAAAGCTGTTCTTTTCTACCATATTTTGAATCATTTCTGGAATGCATTTTCTGATATCATTCTTAGCCCATGTGATGTATGCTGCTGGGCCTCATCAGACAATGCAAAATGCACCTGAATCAAGAGTTTAAGAGGTAAAATGGGGCCAAATCAGGAGAGTATGGAGGATATTCCATTAGTAGAATGTGTTTTGCATCAGAAATTTCACAATGTGAACAAGTGCATGCCTTGATGCCACAACACGCCCTCTGTCTAGCTATAAGTCACACCTATTTTTCCTCATTAGCATATTCCTTTCTGTTGTCACTCTTGGTGCCATCTGGTGATAGATGCTATACTAATTGATTAATGAAGAGCCTTGGCAATTTTAAGGCAAGTGTCCTCAGCCAGTGGACTTGGTATGTTGTGTGCAAAGGATTAATGAATTATGATGGGTTTGATATAGCATTTAGGTGTACATAGTAGCGTAGTTGGTTGAGGCACTGTGCTACAAGCTGGAAGGTCACAATATCGAATCCTGATGAGGTGGATTTTTTCAATTTACCTACTCTTTGCAGCTGCACTGTTGCCCTGGGGTCAGCTGAGCCTCTAACAGAAATTAGCACCAAGAATATTCTTGGGGGTAAAGGGTGGCCAGTGCTTAAGGCTGACATTACCGTCATGCCGATTGTCTAGGAAATGTGGGAACCTCAACATCTCACAATCATATGGGCCTCCATGGCCTGTTACAGGGATAGCTTTACTTACTTTACTTTTTGATATAGCATTTTAAACTGTTATTCACATATCATCCTGGCTTTACAGTATGAAACGGAAACTGAAGCTCGAGAAACTAGGCATGCCCTTCATGGAGTACGGTGGCCTGTGTCGAATCCAAAACAACTTTGCGTTGACTTCGGCAGGAAAGAAGATATGGACTTGGCACAAGCTCTGACAGACGATGATCAGATACCAAGAAAAACAGAGCCACTGAAAGTCGAGAGGACGATTGAAGGTTGGGTTGCTGAGCAAGCCAGGGAGAAGGAGAGGGAACGGGAGTTACGGGAGCATGAAAGAGAACGGGAGAGAGAAAGAACTAGAACAAAGGAAAGGCATCATGCCGTTCCTGCTGTTGAACCACTTGAACGGAATAGAAACGTGAAGGTATAATTACAACCTGTGCATGAATTTTGGAATTTCTTTATTTAACTCTTAGAATATAAAGTGATATAATGGTCGAGCATTGTTTGATCTCTCAGATCATCTTGGATGGCGTATAATGCTCTTTTACTTTAGCAATTAAGTGTTCGGCTGTCAAGTTTCATGTTGAACTACATGTTATAAATGCCAAGGCCACTTTGGGATAAATGCAAAAGAAAAAGCTGCATAATTTCTTCCAGAGGCTTTGAGTTTTATATGTTACACTCGATACCATCTGCTGACAAAAGTGTTATACTACGTGAGCTGATCTTATCAGCTGTTGCAGTTTTAGTTCAAGTACTCTGAGTCATTGTAGACAGTACATGAAGTTAATATTTGTTCTGAGCTTGAATGGGGAATTTAAACAGGAGAATTTGCCTACAGTAGTGAATAATCAGATCACACGCTTCTGGAATGTGATAACATGTTTGGTAGACAGGCACTAAGGTTTTGGAGGAACCTGCTGCCTCTATCTCTTCTACCCTGGAGATGGAAGCAGCAGGTTCTTCAGAAACATTGGTACCTCTGTACCAAACTACATGGTTTTACACCCCAGAAGACTATGGTCTAAATATGTATGACATGGTAAAACGTTGGACTGATTTTGTGAATATTAGAATGGGTCTAACACATGATCCCATTTTAGGTCTGTTTATTGAAACATGTGACAGACCACCAGCTCCATTTTTAAACAGTGTCTTTTTAAATGAATATGTCCAGACATATTTGACCAGAATTTGATTTCCTACTTATTGGATTATAGGTGTCAAAATGTGCAGTCCTGCCGAGTTTGTTGCTTCAGTAGTCACTTCACATATCAAAAGCTTCAGTTTCTTTTTTGGCATATTAATTAGATGCACACTTCATTTATATCAACATTTTCAAATTTAAAACATATTTTGTGATTTGTATTCTTTCCTAGATGTCAGCAAATGTCAGGGAATGGGACTTAGGTAAAATAGGTCAGTTGTCCCCTGCTGAGAAAGAACCGAAGCATGAAGAAAAAAACAAAGAACGAGAAAGAAGGGTGCGGAGAGAGAAAGCACACCACAGCAGAAGCCCTTCGCCCCATGAAATACCTGGTAATACTTCTTGCAACCCTTTCATGTTATATTATTTGAACAAGATCTTCCATTTCATATCGTTATCTAGAGTTTGATTTGTATTGTAATTTTGTTTGGAGTTTTGTATGAGCATGATACTTTGTCTCACTGAGAGCGGAGCCACACTACAGTGCAGCAACTAGATTCTGTCTTCTCACTGTTATGGCCTGGGTTCAGTCCCAAGTCAGGTTATGTGGGATTTATGGTGGACAGAGTGACACCGGGACAGGTTGTGCCTAAGTATTTTGGTTTCATCTGTCATTTATCGTTCCACCGCTCCTCCGTGCTCATTTGACATTATTATGGTTGTCATCCGGCTAATACTATATACAAGTTGTGTCCCACATACCAAATACACTGTCTCACCCCACCCTATGAATTTAAAGGAAAAGAGGAAGAACAGAGTTCATTATTAAGTCTAACCATTTCCAGTGTTGATGTTTTACAACAAATAGGATTATTGTTTTGGACATTGTTCATAATTGTTAAAACAGCATTTTTGGAGATGGGGGTCATGAAGGTCGAGGGGTTCTTGTTTACTTCAGCCTGTTGCAGGCATTGAGACTAGTCTTCTAGTGTTGCATCTTGTTTGTGGTGCTTAACAAATAGAGCTTAGTCATGCACCACACCACCACAGGGAACCACTCCACATGTGCCCTTTCTGCACCCTGGCACATCTCGAACAATAGCAGGCCATTAGAGTGACTGCCAAAAGCAAACCACGAAGGATATAAACGTGAAATCTCCTATAAATGCTGAAAATAACAGAAGATCCTGACCACTCACTATCGGGCCAGCTTCAAGAACATTCAAGAACCGCATTTTATAAGGACCTTCTTTGTGCATTGTTTCAGTTTAATTTTTTTAGAACTTCAATATGCATGTCGAATCTTAATTTAAAATCTAATTTATATATACAAGGGTCTGCCAGAAAGTAGAGAGTGTTTGTTTAGCACTTTTTACAGGTCAACGAATTGCACCATTTCAAGGTTAATTGGCCTCTAGTCTTGAATAACAAACAAAGTGAATGACAGACTTTTTCTGTCATTTTGCAATTTTTAATGAGTAAGAAAGTTGAGAATTCTGCTGATCATGAAGTGCGAGCTGTAATTTGGTTTTTGAATGCGCAAAATGCCTGGGATGTTTTTTCCACCCTCCCTATAGTCCAGACCTGGCTGCAAGTGATTTTCACTTGTTTGCACACTTGAAGCAGTTTTTGTGTGGCATGCACATTGTTAGTGAAGAAGATGGTTAAAGACTGGTTCTGTGGACTGGTCAGCACATTTCTGCAATGCAGGCATGCAGAACTCATCACACAATATGAAAAGTGCCCGAATCTTCATGGGGATTATGTAGAAAAATGATTTAAGGTCTGTAGTAATGATGCAAAATGAAGTTCTTAAATTTAGTTATTTAATTCTTTTAATCACTGAATGGTCTGTACTTTCATGATGACCTACTTAGTGTTAAGTCAGATCTGACCCAATCTTAATTGACAAAATGTTATACTAGCATTGTCGTTTGTATGCATTCTGTTATCAGTTGTATATCCCTCAAGAATCAACTGATGCAGAAACATGTTGTGAGTTGAGTAATATTAATGTGTGATGATGACACCTCCAGTTTCAGTTGAGCTCTTTCTAAAGCCCAAGACGGTTAGGAAGCATTTCTCCCTTATGAATGATGATGGAAACATGTCCAGTTTCCAAAACTTTGTGTTCAAAAACAGAAGCTGATAAACATTATTCCAAAAACATAATATTTGTTCTGTGTATCATCAGCACAAACTTTTAGATCTTATTATTCCAAACATTAGCCATATTTATGGAATGAAAGTGCTTGAGAACAGGGTGTTTAATAGAGCATTTGGAGCCAAGAGAAGAAATGACTGGAGGTGGATGGAGGGGCTACATACTTCATATGCTTCACCAGATGTCATTGTAATGATCAGAGCAAGGAAGATGAAGTGGGAGATATGAGAAAGACAAAAATATTAGTAGGGAAGAGACCTCTTGGAAGAGCTAAGGATAGGTGGGAGGATAATAGTAAGGTGGGGGCATGTGGACTGCATTCTTCTGGGTCAGGTTAGCGCATAGTCTCAGACTTGTGAACATGATAATGAACCTTCTGGTTCCAGAAAAGCTGGTAATTTCTTGAGTAGCTGAGTAATTGTTAGCTTGTCAAGAGGGACCTTAGTGTGTGGAATAGTGCAGACTTTATATAACAAGGACTTATAAACTTTGTAGAAGTACGTGTAGCATTGGAAATTTGTGGAAATACGTAACCTTCAATCCTAATTTCTCATTTTTTATGTATGTGTATGCACGCACACACAAGTAATTTAGACACCACAGGATTTCTTTAATGTTTACAACTGTAGTCGGTATAGTAACTGGCTGCAGGCTGGACAGCCGAGGGCTCGGAAGTTTGATTCCTGGAAGGGTCAAGAATTTCTGTTCTCCACATCATCCAGACAGGCTCAGGGATTCACCCAACCATCTATTCAGTGGGTGCTGGGAGCTCTTTCCCTGGGGGTTAAGCGGCTGGGGTGTGAAGCTGACCACTCACCTCCAGCTAGGGCTGAGGTCAAGAAAATGTGGATCCATACATCCACTCCCCTATATGCCTTCGTGGTGTAGTGCTTAATTGGTTAAGCACAGGGACAACTTTACCATTTTACCTTTGGTGTCAAGACTAGGGTAGGTGGGTAGGTATATTCCTATATAGATAGGTGGGTGGATGTGTAGGTAGGTTAGGCAGATATCACTCATGGGTTGCATTACTTTTCTTTGTTCAGTATTTGATAAATTCTATTAATTATTAAGAATTCTGTCATCAGGGATATAACGTTATGTAGTCTGTTAGAAGTCAAATGACATTTTGGAGGAATATGTCACCTCCATTTTTTGGGTTAAGAGTAAGCCAAGGAAGAGGGCTGCGCCATAGCTCAAGCGGTTAGTTACTGGCTTCCCACTGCGGCGGCCTGGGTTCGATCCCACGTCTGGTCAAGTGGTATATGCGGTGGACAAAGTGGCACTGGGGCAGGTTTTCTCCAAGTACTTTGGTTTCCCCTGCCAATCTTCATTCCACCAGTTGCTCCACAATCAACCTCACCTATCATCTGGGGCTCGTACAATAGGCCAGAAGTGGCCGCAGTACGAGGGACTTAGTCCCACCCCACTAGCAATAAAAAAAAAGCCAAGCAAGAAGCCAGCATGAAGCAGTCGATTGACTTTACATGGGCTACATGACATATCCCAGAAGAGAACCCTTCATAACCACCGCTGTGAGAACTGCAGATTCTAATTCAGTGTGTCTGGCAATTTTGAATTAAGTGTGTTTTTCTTATCTTCCAGTTCAGAAACAAAAAAAGAAAGAAGATGTGGCTGCCGCTAAGCTCTTGGATGATTTGTTTAGAAAGACAAAATGTACTCCCTGTATTTACTGGCTGTGTGAGAACTGCAGATTCTAATTCAGTGTGTGTTTCTTGTCTTCCAGTTCGGAAACAAAAAAAGAAGGAAGATGATGCTCCTGCTAAGCTCTTGGATGATTTGTTTAGAAAGACCAAATGTACTCCCTGTATTTACTGGCTGCCTCTCACTGCTGAACAGGTATGTTGGGATCCTTATATTCACACACAAAGCTTTTATGGGTTTGGTGCTGAATAATTTTTCCACGTGTATCTGAAATGGAAATCTGTGAAGTAAGTGAGTTTGCCACTCATGGAAAATTAGCATGTCACAGGTTGTCCCTGTCATCATATTGTCACGTGTCGGGTATATGTCACATGACAAATAACTTCACGCTGTCTTGGATATAGTGAATTTATTCCACTTACTCTTACAGTTACACAATTTACAGTTTCACAACTACTGTCATCTGCAGTGTCACAATTACTTCTCCTGCTTCCATTCACTCCGGCAAATGCTAGACTGCAACTGGCTGGTTACTGTGGTAATCCTCTCGTTATATAGCTTCTGCACTCACAACACAGAAAACAGTTACATGATAGCTTTCACTGTTGCATAATGTTGTGTTTACAGGCGTTGCTGGGGAACGCTGCCAAGAGTTGTTTATTGCTGCGTAGTAACCACGGGGTAGGGGGACGGGTGTTGACTGGCCTGTTACTGTAACAGCGGCAGTTGCTTCGATGCTGTTACGTCATTGCTGGAAGGGGGGTGTCCTGCATAGTGCAACTATGTCACACTGCTCCCTTCTAAAGGTTGTTCATCCCGAACAGCCTAACAGTGCGCCCCGTTCATTTTCTTTCAAGGGTGTGCTTTCTGCGTCTTCTTTTGGTTCAGCTACTCCTCTTGCAGTGACTATTCCCTGGCTGTTACATCCGCTCCCTTCTTAAGATTGTTCGTCCCTAACAATTCCATGGGCCAGTGTTCATCAATCCGTTGTATCACATTGTGAAAGTGAGGAGTCTCACTTTCATCCATTTTACATTCACTCTTGCTGGGGAGGCCGGTACTTCTACGTTACCGGCTGGGTGAGACTCATCATAAGGCTGCTTGCAGAGATGGTGTAGACAATTGCCGATGGCGAATTCCTTTCTCCGGGATCCAAAGGCTCCCTGGGTAGTTTCCTTGTTGAAGGCATCTCTCCTGTGTCATGCCACTGCTGCACAACGGGACACCTTCCGGTCGGTTTGTGTTTTCCATGCCACTTTTGTATGGTGGCTTGTCCCTCTGCAGGCAACGACCAGTCTTCCTCGGCACCCATCCTGACACTGGGTCTGGTCTGTTCATTCATTTTTCGCTGGTTTCGGTCCCTACACCTTTTCTTCTTCAGTTCTCCAACTAGCATTACTTCAGCGTCTTCTGCAGGTACCTCTCATCGTTCTGCCGCCTCAGGTTTCACGTCCACTGAGGTCGGCTCTTCTTCCTCTGGACGTGCCTCCATTTCTTGGGAGGCCATCGTCCCTTCTTCTCCTAGATGCACCGCCAACATTTCTCGGCAGGCCATCATCTTTACGTCCATTTTGGATTTGCTTTCGGCCACTATCTCCTTGTGGCTGGTGCTCATATTTTCTCGCATGGCTTTCGTCCTTGCTTTGATTGCTTCCGTTTCTGCGGCCATCTTTTCTCGCCAGGCTCTTCTACCGGCGTCTGTTTTTGCCTGGAAATCTTTGTGGGTTTTTCTATCGGCCTCTGCCTACACCAGAATTTCGATTATTCGCTGCATATCTTGCTTCTCACTTTATTGCCATAGCTCCAAAAACAGCATACTCAGATACAGTGTTACTTCGTTTTTACCATTGCAGTGTCATACTCTTATTGATATGTCAACCAGTTTTCAACAGAAAATACAAACTGAATGAGTGAAGACAGTGGTATGAAGAGTACTGTCTTGGGATGTTACATTGTCTGGTATATTAATGCACCCATTCCCTCAAAACATCAGTAAACTTCACCAGATTTTATCATATCCCAGAAGAGAGGATTCACAATCACTGCCATGGGGACCACAAATCTCAGAAGAGTTGTAATGTAAATTTTATTGGAATGATATTTCTCTTGTATTTCATACTAGTAAGGTTAAAAAAAGGTGAAGTTGTCCCTGTACTTAACTAATTAATCACTATGCCATGAAGGCGTATGGGGACATGGATGTGTAGATCAACATTTTATTGACCTCAGCACTAGCTGAAGGTGAGCGGTCACCTTCACACCCCGGTCGCTTTACCTCCGTGGAAAGAACTGCTGATACCCATTGGATTGGAGGCTGGATGGACCTCAGCATTGGTCTGCATGATGTGGAGAAGAGGAAATTTGTGACCCTACAGGGACTTGAACTCCGGCCCCTCGGTCGTCCAGCCCATAGCCAGTCACTATACCAACTACACTATGCCAGCTCCTGTTTCAGACTAGTAATCGTATAATATACTTTGTGCAAGTTTAGTATGTTGAACTTGAAACTTTCATGGCAGCTAAAAAATGTTAAAGTTGTGGGTGTCCAGCCACATCAGTTTGGCGGTTAAGTGTAACATTTTAGAGACCTCTGCTACCATCACCAGGGAAAACGTTTTCATGATGAAGGAGACAGAGAAGGTCTCCACAGTGTTCAGCTTTTGCTGTAAATTGATGTGACTGGTTACCCAAGAAGAGTTTATCAACTTTAATATACCTTGTTCATAATTCTTTCTTCTCATTTCATACTATTTCAGATTGTTGTGAAGGAAGAGATGCGCCGTAGGCATATGGCTGAACATGAGCGCAGAATGGCTGAGATGAGAAAGGCAGAGAGAGAACGAGAGCGGGCTAGAGCTCAGCAACGCCAACAGAGGCGGGCAGGAGAGAGGGATAAACGAAGAAGACGAACTGTCAGTGGCAGTCCTAAGAAATAACTGAGAGATAAAAGAAAAATCCTTCGCTGGGAAAAGTGATTGAATAATCAAGTGAAGAGTGAGTTGCAGGTTGCACGTCCTTGCAACTGGGAGAGGAGATGTGTGCGGCCAGATCTACCATGGCCGTCTTGTAACTTGGCATGTTCAGAATTATAACTGCCAGGGAGTTGGTTACATCAGCTCATGCACGGCTGTTTTTGCAAAATGGTCGGTTCTTAGATCAAATTTACTTTTATCTCGCATGACCTGTCTGGTCATTTGTTTTTATTTAATCTTTCACAGCTAAGTTTTCAAAATTATTTGAATTGCTTTTGGTAGTTATTAATTTGTTAGCAAATTGATGCAGGTACATAAAATATTCTATTAAGATAGAGTTAGTTGAGTTTCGCGTATAATAACTTACCTTGATATTGCACATAGCTTATTGGTATGTTGTGAAATCAGTTAATCCATTAAGATAGCTTGATGTTCCTTTCCCATATAAAAGACCCACTTTGCATGCTAATGTCCATATTTAATCAAGCTTATTGGTATGTTGTGAAATCAGTTAATCCATTAAGATAGCTTGATGTTCCTTTCCAACATAAGGAAGACCCACTTTGCATGCTAATGTCCATACTTAATCAGTAGTTGCATGTTTCTACATAAGGTATTATCTGGGCCACTTCTAAGGCTGATCCTTGACCTGTTTGAATCCCTCCCTAATTTTTCATTGCAGGAGATGAAGCATTTTGTTTCCAGGTCCAGCAGAGGAGAAAAATGAATTTTTCATTTCTGATGATGACAGATGATTTTTATCTCATCAGGCAGTACAACAGGCAGCCTGGTGCACAGGGCTTTGGGGGGATCGAACGAAACAAAACCATGGGAGGTATTAAACAGAGCGATCTCCGTAACCAAGGATCAACAAATACAAGAAATTTGAGAAGGATTCTGCACTAATGTCCATGAACTTGGGGTAGTGACTGTGGAGGACATGGTCATGCGACGCCATCTTGTGTATTCCTCATGGCAGTGAAAATGTGTGAAGAATATTTGCTAAGTATGTGCTGTTGTCATCCTGTTGAAGAGAACTGCAGCATTGCTAAGTGATATGAGGATGGATGATCGTCAGAGAAGAGTGAAGACCTCTAACCATGATGAAGTGTACCTAAAGAACAGTCAGCTTTTGTTGATGTATGGAATGTACATCCTTTGCAATTTATGATTATGAAAAAGTACAAGGAATGTGTCTCTTTGTTATAGTACCTCAACTTGTGGGCTGTAGATTTGCAGCACATTTAAATAGAGTTAATGTTAAGTATGTCTGAAGTTCAGTTTTTATTGTTAGAACAGCATTGAACATTGAAGGTTAGTGAATGGCTGGTATGGCTTATGGTCACTGCAATGGAACCCCCATTTATTGTAACTTGATTTAAGGGCGTCATGCAATTAACTTAACGTTCATTTTCAGTAGTCCCAAATCAATAATCATAATGTTAAAATACGCCCATTTTCTTCAGTTTAATGTTGAGATCTGTTGGTCCAAGAAGATATCTTAAAGAGGCAGTTTTACCATAGATAGAAATTTATTTCTACCTTTCAGTTCTCAGTGCTGTTTGTCTGCTAGTAACCGTCTAATCAGGACACAAGACAAATGGTCAGAATTTATACTCAGGCCATCTTTACCCTATTTCTCTATTTGAAATATGTTGTACTGACTGTGTATGCCCCCAAGCCTTTGTTGATATTGTGGTGAAGAAGTCAAACTCGAGCTCTCTGATCTGTAGCACATCACTTAGTTCAACAACATATGACAGGTCAGCAGTTTGTCAAAACCCAATACAGCATTCAAGCTGAATCACATTTTCCTTCCTAGTTCATGCTCCATTTTACTGGAGAAAATTGTTTATTGTTTATTATGCATCTTGAGAAATGGTTTAACCAACCAGTCAGAATATTAATGGGTACTGTGTCTAAGATATTATAATTAAGGTATGTGCTTAATTATGCATCTTGACATTTTGTGAGTGGAGGTATAGCTACATGCGTTCTTCACTTTGGCACTAGATGGAGTTGAGTGGTTATCTTCATCTTCATCTTTATACCCAAGGAAGGAGCCCTTTGGACAGGATGCTGGTTGGGCCTTGAAGCTAGCATGGACACTGTGGAGAAGCGTGTAATTGCTTTTATTTAACTCCACAAGTAAGTGGAGTCTGAAGTACATTTTTAACACCACTACAATTTCTTCCTAAAATCAAAATTGGATCCCTGGATAAGTTTGTTCCCTCTCTGTTCCATTCTCACCCGTGACAAACCAGTGTGCCTCCTGCAAGGGTTTTTTTTTGTCCTTTTCTTGCCACTGCCTAGGACTGGGTTCCTTTTGGTCTTTAGGGCCCCTGCTTGGGTTAGATAACCACCCTCCCTCTAACTTATATAACCAAACCTGTTCCTGAACATACTTTATTCCTAAAGATGGAGGTAACATGTTCCTCCAGAACTTTCTTGTGTGTCCGCAAAAGTACATGATGTGACAGCTCAGAAGGCATTAATCTAAAAGTACTTTTTCAGACTTCTCTATGTATTATTTTTATTTTTTGGATTTTTAAAATTTTTTTAGCCGAAGTTTCAGTTTCGTATGAAAGTGAGAATTTGTTACAACTTCATACAATTTCACATTTGTTTTCTCTTATTTATCGTCTTTGTATTATGTTTAAGCCTCCACACATTCACTGATGCATGTTAAATGAAAATGGCATAACGAAAATATTGTTCAGGTCCTGTTACTTGTTATAATCATTTTCAGTGCACTTGAAACTTTTGTTCAGAGGACTTTTGTTGTAACAAAGCAAATTCCTAGAAACATTCTTTTACATTTCATATTTGTCTTCAGCAGTGGATATGTAACTTCCCATGAGATTGAATAAAACTTCCCTCAGAGGCTCATGACAACGCATAAATCACAGTGTATAGACAACATAAAAATGTGTCTCATGTGCTGATAGACCAAATTTTTACATTTGAGAAATAAAATTGTGAAAGCATGTAATGGAGTAATTAATACTCGTAGTCTGTACTTTCTTTTACTATCATTACATCACACTTTTGTGGAATTATTTAAGAATGTTCCACAGGAGTGTGTCTGCAGCTGGAAGCATCTCCATGATCAGCTTACATATGCTTGTGTCAGCTGTGACTTCATACTCTTTGTTTCCTGGTAAGAGAATCTCTTTGCTGCATTTATATACCATACTCGCATATTTTCAATAAATTAATTGATAGTGTAATAACCATCATAGTACAACAAATTGACAGAATGTTCAGTCAAATTTGTTAGGATACTGAGATCACCTTCAAGGGTAAAATATAAGTTTATGTGTGTTTTTAAGTTGCCAAGTATCATTAAATTTATATATATTATGAAGTAAATCCTTCTGTTGTTTCACAGGTCTTCATAATCTTCTTTTACTTTTTAGTTCCTGTCAACATCTTTCCACTTTCTTCCGACTTCTGAAAATTCTATTCTTTGTGGAATTCATAGTTTTCTCATAATTCATTTCCTCTACATATACTGTAAGCTTGAAGGTTGTGGGTTTGATTCACAATGAGGTCATTGGATTTTTCAATTGACCTAATCCTTCCAGCTGCACTGTGCCCCAAGGGTCGGCTAATGCACTCATGTAGATGAGCTATCACTGTTATTGCAGATGGCAGTTTTTGTTGAACAATATAAAGTTGCTCCTTCATCAATATATAATTTGCACAGCTACCCTTGAATTCAGAACTGAGGCACTGCAGTTGGTTATCAGTATCTTCTCACAATTTTGATCAATATACATCGTGTTACACTCACCGACAGCCACTTTAGCTGCCATGTTGACATGCAAGATGTGTACTTCATAAATTTGATGGGTATGTTAACATGGCATGTATATGTATTAGTATGGCATATTGCTGATCTGCGCACAATAATATTGTTGATGGCATTCCTGTTTAACATTCAGAAAATATGTGATTGAAATCGTATCGTAAGTTTCTGTAAATCTCTGTAGTCCCTCTATGATAGCAGTCACATTTAGCCGATGCAGTTGTAATATGTCTGATTTTCTTTCAGAATGGATCTGATTTAAAGCTCATTTAGGGATTGACTCATGACTGAATTGTCATAGTTTTCCTGAATCCCTCCATGAAAATTCTGGAAATGGTACCTCAAGTATAGGATACTGCTATTTTCTAATGCCTTCTGATTCTTAATTTTTTATCCTCAGAATGTCATACTACCCGATAATGTGGAAATTCGCCCAGATCGTAATGATACCTAAACCTGGGAAACCAGCCAGTGAAGTAAATTCTTATCGGCTGATTAGTTCGCTGCCGGTCACATTGAAGCTTTTTGAAAAGTTACTATTGAGGAGAATAGAAACGACCTAGACCTGTCAACTGTTGCTCCCGATTACCAATTTGGATTCAGGGAAGGACGATCCACAATACAAGAAACACATAGAATCGTAAATAAGATTGCAACAAGCCTTGAAGAAAAAACAGCAGTTTTCCTTCACATAGCTTAGGAGTTTGACAAGGTCTGGCACACCAGACTACTATATAAAATTAAAAATACATTCCCCAGCCCATACTACCTACTTCTAATGCTATACATCACTGAAAGACACTTTAAAATAAAATGTAATTCATATTCAGATTGGTACCAGGTGAAATCGGGTGTACTGCAAGGAAGTGTGATGGAGCCTGTACTATACTTAATCTATACTGCACACTTGCCCACAACAAACAACATTAAATCACAACCTTCGCGGATGAGACAGCCCTGCTAGCAGCAAATAATTATCCAGTAGTAGCATAACAACATCTTCACCATAACCTAATCCTTCTCCATCAATGGTACAGCGAATGGAAAATGAAAATAAAGCATACAAAATCAGTGCAAGTTACATTCACCACAAAATGTATAACTTGCCCGCAGGTTACCATCAGTAATGTGTAAATACCAATTCAAACCGAAGTAAAATACTTGGGATTATACCTCGACAAGAAACTGACATGGCAGAAACATGTCAAAACAAAGTGTCAGAAGTTAAACTTAAAACTATGAGAAAAGTCCTGGCTTTTGGGCATCCAAGCTGTCCATAGAAATTAAACTTCTACACTATAAGTGGATAATAAAACCCATATGGGCATGTGGTATACAGCTATGTGGCTGTACAAAACCATCAAACACAAAAGTAATTCAGAGACTTCAGTCCAAATTCTTGTGCTGAGTAACTAAAGCACCTCGATATGTTTCCAACTTTACTATCCACAATGATCTGCAAATCCCATTTGTCATAGAAGAAATACATATGTAGATTGTCAACAATCTACCCTCAAAGCATATCAGACACAATAACAGACTAGTTGAAGAAATCAGCAGCACACCAAATGTAAGAAGAAGATTGAGGAGACAATGGCTGTCTGACCTACAACAACCCGCAGATCATGAAAATTGAAATCATCACCATGCCTCCACAGGGCTTGTCAGAGTATTGTCAGTGGATGACTTCTCTACCCAAAAACACCTACTTAGAACAGATTTACTTATTACTCCATATTATTGAGAGTAGATTGTAAATATGCTGTTAATTAAATAAAAGAAAAATATTCATTTTTCATTGCATTCCATATATCCAACATTTTTTCTAAAAAAGCATCTGCCAATAATCACACACTTGGCTTCAGCCTTAAGATCAAAACTGTGCATTAACAGGTGTGCAACTTTTGATGAGTTTGTCTCTGTGTGTACTGGCTAAAATAAGCACTGCATACAGCTCTCACTTTTTACAGTTCAGCTTTTCTCGTTCAACAGTTTTTAATTTCTACAACCATCAGAACATAAGAATTTACAAGATCCTTAACTTAATGCAAGTCACTACAGTGATCTTGATTATTTCCCCATAGAATATTAAACATTTAACTTACTGACTGAAGAGAAAGCTGTACAGTGATTTCACTTTTAAGTTCAAAAGAAAACATGCTGCTGAAAAAAAATATTCATCCTAATGCAGTTTGTTTAAATTTAATATAAACAAGTTCTGGGAAGAAATTACGAAGCCTGATTTCATGCAGATGCTTCCTTAGCTGTATTCAATATGCTAGCAGAAGTTAATTCTGTAAGAAATATATGGTGTGGAATAATTTCTGACAGTCTGCAATTGTGACAGAAGTTAGGCATTACCCCAAAGCTTCACACCAATGCATTATTTGTAATTTTTAGTGTGTGAAGAAGCATAAGAAATTTGTGGCCTCATTTGTAATAGTTGTACAATCTCCACATCATTTAGATCACAGAATTATCCTCAGACATTAATGTTCCCAACAAGTAGTTCTGGGAAGAACTGATCATCTGCTTTCCTTTGTTACAACATGGACCACAGAAAACAATGCCAGAAATTCTTCATTGTCATGTGAATGAGTTTGCTGACATCTTACCCAGCAATGATAAGAGTTATAGAGAGAGATCCACAGGCTCTCCTTTAACATAACATGGACCACCTAGAAAATAACTCATCTGACAGTTTTCTATTGCCTGTAATTGTTGCTGCAGGTATGTGTTTACCAAGCAGTTACCTAGAAGCTGTGGGGGAGGGAGGGTGATACACAGGCTGATGGGAGGAGTTTATGAAGTATGCCATTGACATGGGCCCAGATGCTATGATATGCATACCAAGTTCAATAGAGATGGTTCAGGCATTCAAATTTTGTTTAAGCGGGATACACACACACACACACACAGTAAAGTGATATCATAAGATTGCTTTTATGTTTTTAAGAATGAGGAAAGTAGGCTAAAAGTATTAAATGCTGGTAAGAGCAAAATACCTGTATGCTGTAATAAAGGAATGTGCACATTATCACAAGATGCCCACCTATTTATAATACTGCTAATACCATGCATGTGAACCACCAGCCATTTCCAGATGGGGGGAAGGAGCAGCCAGGATATTTGCTTACAAAGTTATGTTTAATCCATTTAAGACTTTGTAATGAATCACTCTCTTAGTATTAAGGATGCTGGCATATTTCTTTTTTCAGTGCTGATCTATTTTTTAAATATCCTTTGAAAGGGGTCAGGTGCCTGGCTCCCCCCCCCCAGCTAGTGCCCATGCTACCATGTTAAACATCTGTTACATGTGTGACAATTGGTGTCACATAATGACTTAACCTTTAAATGCCGGACTTCTGAAATGGTGGTAAGCTTGAGCTGGCCGGAGTTTATTAAAATGCCTGCTGCTGGTGTGCATTTAAATGCCCATTGCTGCTCTGCATTTAAATGTGCATTCCTGTTAGGGTGCTTAAACAATTTTAAGCATTGTGTTTAAAAATGTGTCTAACAATTTTTATCATAAATGGATGGAATTAACTTTGTTTGTATCAGCAAAGAACGTAGTGTCACATATTATAACAGAAGATTTGAGTTACAAAGAGTTACACACTAATTTCATTTTTTCTTTGAATTTTGATGTGTACTGCAAAAATGGTTTCCCAGTTCTTCACAGAGTTGTTGTGCATTATAAATTCATTTTCTGTTTGTAACACTTGACAAATTTTAGCAGTCCCTGGTGTCATAAAACAGATGGCAGTAATAAACTCATTTCGTCTTCTGTTAGCACTGCTTACACTCTTCGGATTTTCGAATCTTTTGACTAAAGGACAGAAGAATGAAAGAATGGCTATTCAAGAGAAAGCTAGAGGGTTCCCTTTTTCAGTGCTAAGACCTTCCGTTATAGCTGAAAGAGATTGTTGCCCTTTCTATGGGCGTGAACAGACAGTTGCATCATGGCTGAGATACAGAGTGTGACCTGTTTTCTGTGCATTCATAGTGCATAGCAGTCTCTGGTGTCATAAAACAGATGGCAGTAATAAACTCATTTCGTCTTCTGTTAGCACTGCTTACACTCTTCGGATTTTCGAATCTTTTGACTAAAGGACAGAAGAATGAAAGAATGGCTATTCAAGAGAAAGCTAGAGGGTTCCCTTTTTCAGTGCTAAGACCTTCCGTTATAGCTGAAAGAGATTGTTGCCCTTTCTATGGGCGTGAACAGACAGTTGCATCATGGCTGAGATACAGAGTGTGACCTGTTTTCTGTGCATTCATAGTGCATAGCAGTCTCTGGTGTCATAAAACAGATGGCAGTAATAAACTCATTTCGTCTTCTGTTAGCACTGCTTACACTCTTCAGATTTTCGCATCTTTTGACTAAAGGACAGAAGAATGAAAGAATGGCTATTCAAGAGAAAGCTAGAGGGTTCCCTTTTTCAGTGCTAAGACCTTCCGTTATAGCTGAAAGAGATTGTTGCCCTTTCTATGGGCGTGAACAGACAGTTGCATCATGGCTGAGATACAGAGTGTGATCTGTTTTCTGTGCATTCATAGTGAAATCGAATACTGTAGTTTCATTTAAGCCTATATATACATCAAGCAGGTGTCGACAAACAAGTTACATACATCGAATTTTACTATATATTTTTAACATATTAATCTGGAGAATCTGCAATAAAAGTACTGGCTCATGGATGAGTTTGGGCATAACACATAAGTATACTCTTTTTTGTTGTTCACTTAGATATCATTTTAATTCCTCTATTGTGGCTTTACTCAAGTCTGTCTGGTAATTACTACATTTAAAAATAAATATTTAGGACTCTTCATGCACTTCTACTAGCGGCGTGTACGTGCGCTTCCACTAATGGAGTTTAAATGCCTGACTCGCCAAAACGAGGTACTTTGACCACGACGACCATACTCATCACTGGCCCAATCGGGGCACTTCGGACGTTAAAGGTTAATAGTTTAATATTTTTCTGCTGTTATCAATTCTGAATGTTTTTGTTGTACAGCACACTTAAATGTATAGATCCAGTCCCAATAAGTTCCCACAAAACAATTGAATTGTTGCTTTGAAGTAATAAAACAATGTGAGATTTGATGTTCTCATGGGGGTGGTCATGAAGATTACTGTCTTTGGGATATGATAACATGTGGTGTGATGGAGGGTCATTGATATTTCAGAGGAATACCAACCCCAGTCACAATAAAGATAAACCAAAAACAACTGGAGAATGTGAAATGTTTTAAATATTTGGGTAGCTTGTTAACAGATGATGGAAGGTGTACTAGTGAAATTAAATCCAGGATTGCCATGGCAAAAGCCGCATTTAGATAGAAGAAGAATCTTTTTACCAGCAAATTGGACTTAAATTTGAGGAAGAAGCTAGTGAAATGCTGCATTTGGAGCATAGCTCTGTATGGGGGTGAAACATGGACACTTAGGGCAGCAGATCAGAAACATCTGGAAAGTTTTGAAATGTGGCGTTGGAGAAGGATGGAGAAGATCAGTTGGACCAATTATGTGAGAAATGAAGAAGTGTTAATTAGAGTCAGTGAGCAGAGGAATATCCTACACGAAATAAGAAAATGGAAGGCTAATTGGATTGGTCATGTTTTACCAGAAACTGCCTTCCAAAAGAAGTTATCGAAGGAAAGATAGAGGGGCGGATAGAAGTGACAAGAAGACGAGGAAGAAGACGTAAGAAGATGCCGGATGACCATGGGGACAGAAGAAGATACTGTCATTTGAAGCAGAAAGCTCTAGATCGCATTAAATGGAGGAATTGTTTTGGAAGAGACTGTGGACCTGTCGTCTTGACAGATTACTGATGATGATGATGATGATGATGAATAACATGAAGTACAGGAAGTGGTTGGAACGTTTATGAGCTATTATAACTAATTTATTTACACAGTCAAGTATTTAAAAGTAAAGTTATAAAAACTTTTTGTTAAAACTAGAACTAATGGTTTGTGTCTTGAAATTTCTTCTCAATAAAGGAAGAAGATTGTGTATCCTAAAATGGGATTATAGAAACACCGCATAATACCCATACCATAATTGCTGCTTCCTATTCTGCAGGTATGAAACCAAGTCATGTCATACAGGAGGTAGGATAAAAGATTGGACAGATGAAAAAGGAACCCTACTGTATCGTATTGTTCGTCAAATGCAACATTGCCAATTATCACGCATGGCACTAGAATGGGGTCCAGCAGGGGGTAAGAAAGAGGATACACCACAAAGAATCCGGGATGAAGGTATAATATAACTAATTGGGGAGCGAGACCCGCTAGAGCAGTGGTTACCAATCTGTGGTCCGTGAACCCCCGGGGGTCCGCGGGATAGTTTATTTTCGTTAAATTTTATCTTATCATGTTCCTCACACCTGGGATATTTGCAATGTATATCTCTGGCTCTTGAGCCCCATGCTTGAAGTAAAATTTAACGGGGCTGTTGGTACTGTTACTTCTTCCCTTTGTAAAGCAGAGGTGAATAACCAACGATTTGTGTAGCTTTTTCCAAGGATATTTTCTTTTGGTCGGCCCATTGCATCTCATATCCGTGTTTCAGGGTGGACTGTTGTCCTACTTACCTGCTGTCTGACCATTCTCCCCCTCCCCACCAAATCCACCCTTCTTTTGTTGGGAATAAAGCTGGGACCATTGACCAAGTTTCTTATTCATTTCAGTGGCAGAGTGAACAACCTGTGTCAGTGGTTTTTGTGCAGTGGATTTTTATAATATTACACAAGTGTGTTTTTCTCGGTTTAATATTCAGTTTTTCTGCTCTTGTTCAAATAATTGTGTTCACAACGAAACTTCTGATTTTCAGTTTGTTCACGATTTTATTTAGATATGGATCGGTAGTTAAAGTGTGGATCGTTGATTAGGTGAGCGTTAAATTCATAATATTAGGCCTAATTGATATGTTCGTAATCTTCCGAATAAGCTCCATTTATAACAGTATTTTATTGTCACAAATGACACATTTAGTTTTGTAAAATTGTAAGTTACTGCTTCACTTTTATGATATGTAAAATATAACAAATTTCCGTTTGGGGTTTTATGGGGGCCGCGGTGAATTAACATTCGGTACAGGGGATCCGCGGCATCAGAAAGGTTGGGAAACACTGTGCTAGAAGATGATGTAGGTCGCCGAAGATGTAAACCTGGGGCGAAAAACATTAAGGAAAAAAAAGGCACTAAAGTGTATTAGGATAGGGTGGGGGATAAGAAGAAAGGTGATAACGACGCTTTCATGATCTCCGAAATGTTTGTATATTTCAAATGCAGATGGCTCTATTTTCCCCATCTTAAGTTCATTCTGATCGATTCCGATATTCTGTGTTATATTTTATAACACATTTATGCAACATGTATTTTAATTTATCTTTCCATTGTGGATACATGGTATGAATTTAATTATGTTCTGACATTCGTTTCGACCTGCATTAGAACGTTCTCTTTCTCAAAATTTACTAACGAACATTAATCGACATTACTCTCAATGGTAATAACGGGTTCGGAATGGCCGAGGCTGGCCGAGACTGGCCGAGACGGCATCCCACGAATCCTCCTTCCTACATCAGTGTGGCCGGTTTCAATCCCCACGCAATAGCTATCTGCTTAGACCAGGGTTCTCCAAACTTTTCGAACCGCGGGCCACATTAGGTAATTCAGCACTTCCAACGGGCCGGATAAAATGAGAAATTGATAACTCCAGGTATATGAGTTTTATTGAAAGCACAGAATTTCATNAAAAGTTTGTTCACACAGATATGTCGTCCCAAAAATGGAGATAAATTTACAAGCAAATTTCTTTAAATTTGGAAATGGCTCAGAGTTCAGAAATTTATAAAATTCTATCAAATTTCCTTCCTTGTATTTGTCTTTAATATGACAATTTTCCTGAAGTTCAATAATTTTCACTTGAATTTGACTTGGGACATCTGCAGCATCACAGTCAAACGGATTTTGAAACAATCTAATTTCCTGAGCACTGGAATCCAAATCAGCAAATCGCTTCCGAAATTGTTCTTTCAAACCTGAAATGACTAAATTTGCAAACGAGGAAGGAAATTCTGCTTCACCCTTTTTATGCAACTCTGCACAGCATAGCATATGAACAAAGTTACAATTTTTCACTTGGCTTTCCAGAAGCATCAACTTTGCTCTTAATGCCTTGATAAGTGCAAATAAATAACAGACTAAGTTATTTTCACCCTTCAACATTAAATTCATATGGTTCACCAGATCAGTAAAAAATGATAATTTCCAAAGCCACTCGGTATCTGATAAAAGTGGTTCGTGATGGGTTTTTTTTTCGGTAAGAAATATATCAATTTCATTCCTGAGCTGAAAGAAGCGCGAAAGAACTTTTCCACAGCTAAGCCATCGATATGCAGTATAATATGTCAGGTCAATAAGCTCGGAATCACATTTACCAGTACTCACTGGAAGATTAGTTCAATTGGCGCATTTTTGCACAATTCTTTCGCGGGCCGGATAAAATCACATCGCGGGCCGTAGTTTGGCTTAGACCACTACTGCCATCTATCCCTGTACAAAACTGGTCACTCATCTGCGCTCATCTGTACCAATCCCTACACTCCTACAGCTGCTTCCCCTCATTCCGCGCGTGTAAGAAGTTTAGTTCGTTTAGTTGGTCAAGGTTCGCTGTCAGAAGAAGGTGTGCAGCGTACAGTTTTAAGGGTTTGTGATTGTGATAGCATTTGATGAACTCCATACTTGTGGTGTTCTGAATTTTAAACAGCTCAAGGTAGGATTGTTTTATTAAGTGTTTCCTAGAGTATTATGTGTGTTAGAGCAAGGAGAAATATAGTGTAGATATGTATACACTGATGCATTTGTGTTCATGTTGTGAGTTGCACGTTTTTTGAGACATGTTTTGTATTGTTACTTCCGTTGTCGCGAGGAGAATTCAAGAGCGGATTGTATATCTGTGCTGTCCTCGCATCCTCGTTTCGGATAATGTGACAGCCATGGAGATGGAGTCGTTCTGAATAATACAAATCTGAAAGAATGGCAATTTTTATATATTATAGTACGGGATTTATATTCTGAACCTTCATGCTAGACGGTGAGGACCAAGAAAATGGCATCCTGCGAAATGTACCAATTATGAACAACCTTGAAGAGTTCCGTTTTCTGCTATATAACGCCGTTTATTCCGTTAACGTCACCTGACGCTTGAGAGGAACATATTACCTCCAGCAAGTAGAGCATGCTGCCTTCTTAATGCTGATTTCATGTTCATGACGACCGATGTGAGGACCTGAAATCCTACATGAACACCTTTCAGCGCATACTAATAGGACTCGTGTTTAAACGACGATTTTTAAATGAAGTAACTTCATTAGCAGTTTCTTTTACCAAAACTTTGGATGTTAAATTTGAAAGTGTAATCCTCATGTGTGCCGGTCACGGTAGCCGAGCGGTCTGAGGCATGCACTGTCTTCGCTGACTCGGAAGCCGAGCTCGTGGGTTCGAATCCCACTCAGGGCATGGATGTTTGTGTACATTTTTCTGTGTTTGTCTACAGGTAGAGGCCTTGCGACGAGCTGGTCACTCGCCCAAGGAGTCCTACCGTATGTGTAAGATGTAGAAAAACCGAAGTGAACGGAGAAGTTCATGGAGGTAGGCCTAGGCCCACCGGGACTGTAGTGCCAAGGAAAAAAAAATCCTCATGTGTAAGTTTTAAATTTCTGGGTTATTAAACTGCGTTATTAATAGCTTGACGATGTAGAGCGAGAGGTGGAGCGGTGGACGAATGAGGGATTCTAAAGAAAGCGGCTGTGTTCTAATCGAGGTACTGTTCCTGAATTTGCCTGAAGGGACTGAGGAAGACCACGAAAATCTCAATTAGGAACTCATCTGCTTCCGAAAATAAGTATAAATCGTTACTGCTGTTTGTCACAGAATGTCAGGCTGAATACCAGTTCTCGAAGTCGCCAAACTTTTCGTTCTCCTTCCCCTATGAAAGTACTGGATAGAATACAATTTTAGAACTTTTTCTGTTAAGCAAGGGAAGAAAGAAGTAACGTAAAGTTGTCCCTATGCCTAATTAATTAAGCACCATTTCATGAAGAGTTGTGAGGCAGTGGAGGTACAGCTTCAACATTCTTGACCTTGGCATTATATGTGAGTGGTCAGCTTCATGCTTTGGCCACTTTACCCCCAGGGAAATCGACCCTGGTACCCACTGGATAGGAGGCTGGGTGGGCCCCAGGCTCGATGTGGACGCTGTGGAGAAAAGTTTCTGTTCCCTTCCCCGGCTGTCCAGCCCGTAGTCGGTCGCTATACCGACTGAGCTATTCCGGTTCATGTTAAGTAGGGTTTGAGGATAAATTTACTGATTAACTTCGCCAGAGGACAGGATTTGAACACTCGAATTGAATTTTTTGAGAGTCGTAAGGCCGTGTGAGCTTAACATTCTGTTAAGAATGCAAAGCAATGTTCAGAACGTGCATAATAAAAATGTGAGCATTTGGAATGTATGTGTCTATCATTATTTTTGACATGACGCTATCTCCTTTTTTGGGGGGAGGGCGACTTAGATCACCAGAGGCTCACCTCACATAGAATAGACGGAACATCTTCATGAATCATGTAAAATATCTTGGTGTAATCTTCGAAAAGGTGATTATGTGGAGATTTCATATAGAAATGATCGAAGCCAAGACCTAGCGAACATGTATTGTAGCCTGTTTCCTCTTCAGAAGTTTGCGATTAAGCGTTAACATTAAACTAACTCTCCATGAAGCACTAATGCAGATTAGTAATGACTTACGCTTGTCCCCCATTGGAATTTTCGGCAGATACACAACTTTTGGAACTGCAGAGCTTGCAAAACCAGGGGCACACCAATCAGCGAGTTGCACATGGCTTTACAAGAACCGTACACTTATGATCACATGACGAAATTGTGAAGGCAACAAGCAGAAGTCGTACAAAATCATGAAATTGTAAATGTTCGCGACATCGGAAAGGTTGATGCCCGACACAGAAAATATAAGAGGCTTAAGCTCAACGGCGTTCAAGCGTACGACAGTTCAAATGATTATGCAGCCGTTGTAACATGAGCTACATAAGTTGGGGCATGATCTGATTTGCCAAGCATATACATACACGTGAANAGAACCGTACACTTATGATCACATGACGAAATTGTGAAGGCAACAAGCAGAAGTCGTACAAAATCATGAAATTGTAAATGTTCGCGACATCGGAAAGGTTGATGCCCGACACAGAAAATATAAGAGGCTTAAGCTCAACGGCGTTCAAGCGTACGACAGTTCAAATGATTAGGCAGCCGTTGTAACATAAGGTACATAAGTTTGGGCATGATCTGCTTTGCCAAGCATATACATACACGTGAAGCTGTATTAATTTTTTTTATTGCTAATGGGGTGGGACTAAGTCCCTTGTACTGCAGCCACTTCTGGCCTATTGTACCAGCCCCAGGTGAGGGTGATTGTGGAGCAATTGGTGGATTGAAGATTGGCAGGGGAAACCGAAGTACTCGGAAAGAATCTTCCCCAGCGCAACTTTGTTCACCACAAAACCTACTTGACCAGACCCGGGATCGAAGCCGGGCCACCGCGGTGGAAGCCAGCGACTAACAGCTTGAGCTATGGCTCGGCCTCGTGAAGTGAAGCTGTAAATAGTAATGTCCACAAGGAACCAGACTCTTCACAACTGAGTGAAATTGAATAAGTAGAATGCCGACATATAGATGACATGTACTGCTGAGTATGACCGCGGTAGACGACAGACCTGTCCTCTCGTCCCATACCAACAAAACCCGCAACTGTCTGACAGAAACAAAAATGTGTATTTGGGCTCCAAATGGGGCTTGACACCAAGAAAGACTGGCAGACTGATCTGCAGTCGTAACATAACTCTTTATATCGAACCGTTTCCACGCAACGGACAGTGTTTAAGAAGTCATGTCACAGTATATTTTTACGTACAATTTGCACTGCTACGTATTGAAACTATATGCAAGATAGGACATCAGATAGTCGCATCATCACATTTGTAATTGTTGACACACAGAAATATGTTTCATTGAGAAGTTTGTGATCTTCTTACAAAATTTCATGTGACTAGCTTCTGAATTAAATGTAGGTTTCGCGAGGCCGCCATAATATTTTGCATACTCCTACTTACAGAACCTGCCTTAACATAAGTTGCATGCATTTCTCCGAAAAATAGTCTTTTAACGTCTCTAAACCAGATTATGCATGTAGTATCCGTCTGTCTTTCGCTCTCTATCCATCAATCCATCCACCCATCGATCCATCTATGGCTCTACAACCCTTGTGGACCTTGGGCGATTTTTCAGAGTCGGTAGGACTCCTTGGATGGGGGATCAGCCCGACATAAGGCCGCTACCTACACACAGGACAACACAAACAGAATAAACGCTCACAGACATCCATGCCTCGAGTGGGATTCGAATCCACGACCCCAGTGTTCGAGCGGGCGAAGACTGTGCATGCCTTAGACCAGTGTTCCGCAACCTTTTTTTACTCGCGGCACACCATGAAGTATCCCTCAACACGGCACACCAAAATGTTATTCCTCTCAAAAACGCATGATATCAGACAATTAATATAAATACGTAACGTGATCAACTTATTACTATAATATATTGTTATTTTATTATCATTAAACTGAAATCGACTCGTGCCTTTATTAACAATTAATGAACTTCAATTCACTGTAGAGTGTAGAAAATACACTTCAGTTACTATTAAAGTAAATACAGTAATTCTACTCATACCTTCAATGTGATACTTGCGCCTGCGTAGCTGCACACAGGCGACTGATCCGTGGTGGAATCGTTGACAACGCAAGTCTCATTTCTTCATCGATGGATCTTTGATGTCTTAATTTCAGTTAACGTCGAGAAGTCCAGTTCACACAAATATGTAGTTGAAAATGACAATAATAACACATTAACTGCCATCTCGGAGATAGCCGGGTATCCACTCCTTATTGCCAACCAAAACGTATCCAAAGGCACTTCGAGAAGTTTTAGTTTCAATGTTCTGTCTGCTTTTAAATCTGCGAGTTCCTCTTGTGTATTAATCGGAAGATGTTCTGAATTCACAACAAATGGATACGAACCCAGTCGAAATCTTGTGCACTCTCTCCAAAATACTTACTGAATTTCTGCTGCAGCATTTCTAAATGTTCTTTAATTGTGTCCATCACCACTTTATTGTCGTCAGCAAGTGGCCATACAGTCGGGGACATCTCAAACGACCCATCTGTAATTCTCTAACTAGCAACCAAAATTTGCGAACTACTTCAGAGCACAGCTGTGATAGAACTGAAACAATTGTAAAACGCGGGATCTCTACTCTTCAAACGGAAGAAGTGACACTATACCGACTTATTTTTGAAATATTTATAATTTTAAATGAAGTCCAACAATCGGTGGGTGCATCGTTACAGGAAGAAAGTCATAAAGTTGAAGAAGCTCTAACTACTAACAAACAGGGGCAAATACCAAAACAGCGCTATAAAAGACAGGGAAACCCTTGCTAATCCCTGCAGTTTTAGGGAAAAGCACGTACACAGAACATGCGGCAAGCATATCAAAGAAGCTGCGTAGATGCGAGAAAAATAAAAATAAATCAATAATGAAAACTATGATATAACAACTGCTGTGAGTAAATAATTTACGTTTAATTTCTTAGAATACAACATTACTGTACATAAAAAATCACAGCATGTAATAAAGAATAA